TTAACCGACTTTTTTATCTTTCTCCGGAAGTACTTCGAATTTTCTAAGCGTCATCTTGTTGATTACCTAAATACGCAACTTCGCCACCAACTTCGAGATCCCAATGCTGAGGGTCGAATTTGAAACACCCTATATTAATAATAATGTCTATTATTGAGGGCGAAGTTTAATTTAAAGCTATTCTGCCACTTAACCCTTGAAAAGTACAAAAAATACAATAACAAATATAAACACGTAAAAGATATATCTAAATCCTAAGTATATAATATTGTAGTCACAGTAGAAAATGGAAATTTAATTATATGAATATACACCGAAAAGGAAAGGTTTTGCGAAGAGAGGGTGACCCCTATGCTGGCGATTACGTTGCTAAAATAAATTGTTTGATTTGTTTTTTACAGTCATTGTAATTTAATAACTTTAAAGCCCGAGGTACTTCCGTAGTGTAACCACTTACGACATAATGATATGCCGAAGTAAAGAAGAGCTTATGTGTGTGTGTTTAAGTTAATACATGTAACTCATCTTGCCTTCAACAATCCCAAGTCTTATATGGTCATATTTTTTCAATTATTCATTAGTTTGCAACACGAAATTGAATTTTTTTAAACTTGAGAAGATATTTAAAAACGGATTGTAAATTATATCACAGTAAGCAATTTTGGATATAATATGAGATTATTTTAATTTGATAATCGAGAATTTGCTTCGGAAAGCAACTTTGCTTACATGAGGTATGAAATTGAAACAGTCATTAAAAATAATTTCCAATTTTGACTGCTTCATTAACTTCGATAGTAACATCATCTGAACTAACATTAAAGTTGTTTATTCATTAATTGATTTTATGTATTCATTGATTTCATATTAGATTTTAACGTTATGAATGGAAAAAAGATGCTTACATCTTAATACTATTCATGAAGTTCATAATATTATACATTTTCCATAAGATCGATGACTAAAATGCACAATGACAAATGTTGGCGAACAGTTAGTTCGCCTGAGGCTGCTTCACAAATGATAGATGAAGCAAAAGCTAAACGTAAACGCATCGTCCGTTCTGCTGGCGCCAACGAATCTTAACCTTAATGACAACTCAACAACAAAAATGTTAAAACTGCTGGTAATTTCTTATGAATATTTACAGAAGATGTAATTAGCAGCTATTATACGTGTCATTAATAACTTAAATAGCTTTCAACGATTGCTGTATCATAATCGCTGTCGCCACATGGATGACATACGTCGAAGAGGTGGTTGGTTCATTAAAAGCCATCAGCATGAGGTATATCATCTTATGACAAGATGTCAATAGTTCGTTCTTATTACATCCGAAATAATGGACTGCATGAATAAAAACTTATAGGCATAAGGTAGAGGAAAAAGCAAATGCTTAAGGCAAAATATACAAGTAAAAGCAATTACCTATATGAATAATGACTTCCTCATACTTGCTAGCAGATGCTTCATAAAAACGAGTAAAAGCTTGGGTCTAAAATGTTGGAAGTTCTTAGGTACTCATATTTCCAAGCTTCTGAATAACAAAATTTTGCGTGTTTAGACTTGCAATTTACACAATTGTAACGACGTGCTGAACAAATACGTTGTCCAGTGTTATTCGAAGATGACGTAGCACATCAAAATGATAGTAGGGTGTAGGTGTTAGACTTTATAGCAAATCAAGTCAGCAAATATCCAGAGATTCTTAGCAAATCACAGACGCCCACATCTAAGAAAAAGAAAGAAGACGCGATAAAAAATATTAGAATTATATGAAAGTGCTCTAGGACAATTAATAAGTACACCACTAAGGCAAAAAGATCAATCGCATGAAAGCACGCTTAAAGATGACTGGTGTGAAAACCGGTAATAAACCTATTAAACTTCTTCCATGGGAAAAAACGTTATACGAGGCCATGGAGACAGTCATTTTCCGAATCCGGCCAACTCACATCCATGCTGATGCGAAGTCTGCGAAAAACAAAAGTTCGCCACTTTTGGTCGGAAATACAAGGCTGAAATTGTTTTAAAACCAATCAGTCCCAAAATATTCTTCAATGTCTTTCAGATCAAGGTTTCAACTTTAATTTAGATAGTTGACGACCTCAAAAAATATAATTATTAATGGAGTTTGTAAGCATTGAATATATCTGCACGGTAACCCAGATAAATTTTTTTAAACAACATTTTTAAATAAATTACAATTTTTGTGGATCATTCCTAAGAAAAAAGGCGTCCATTAATTTTTGTCTAAAGCTCACCATTTTAGAATTACAGGCGTCTGAAACGTCCTAGTAGGTACATTCAATGGCTGCTTAAAAACTCGGTTAAAAATTATAATTTTTGAGGTCGCCAAGTATCTAAATTACAGATAAAATTATTTTGAGATCACTCTATTTTTAACCTTGTTTCTAAGGCCAAATTTGGTGAACTTGTGTTTTCCAGACTGTACATTCCATTGCGCGTAGCTTGTACATTTAAGTTACTTCTCCTTTGCAGTTTATGAATTCATCCCCTTGTAATTAGATTTCCCTATTTTCACATGTGGACAGTCTAGTGCACCAATAGCAGTAGGAAATCTAAATTGGTTTGCTCACAGTTCTTTAGCTAGCATGGTGACTTTTAGGACTGAATCCAACGATTTGCCTTATTTTTTGCCACCAGTCTCACAGTGCTAGAAACAGTGAACTCAATGATTTAGCTCTTCGCCAACTCCGCTTTGAAAACCTGGAGTTGCCAAATATCTTAAACATACTTTTATCCTATGCAACGCTGATAATGCACCACCACGTCGTACTAGACTATCGCCTAGAAAGTTATGTGCTAACCGTTCCACATTTTCCTCTTTATACCAGAACATACTTTTGAAATCACTCGGCGGTGTACGCTTGTAGTATTCCACTTTTCGGAGATTTATCATTTCAGCCATTTCTACTTTCAACCTAACAACCGTGCAAGAAAAAGGCTCGGAACCTCCAAGTAACAGCTCTGGTGCTACTAAATAGCATCAGCACAAGTAAATATTCGCACTTGTTCGCAAATTTACTTATAATTTTACTCATATGACTTAAAGCATTTACTTTTAATTTTGCCAAGTATAATCATATTGGCTCCCGTCTCATAGTCAAGATCTCAGGGCTACTAGACCTCATTTGTTTTCTGGAAGACAAAACGTGGGGCATTGAGTAGCGTTTGTATGTCTGTGTACCTGTTGAGCTGGGTTGAGTCATTTATGGTATAATTCATATATTGAGCCTAATGAATAAAAACTAAGCAATTACTTTAAGCAATTACTTTTTGCCAAAAGCAATTGCTTAACTAGCAATTGCTGTAAGGAAAAGCAATTGCTAAATTTTGCAATGAATAATATTTTTAAGCAAATGCTGCATTTCCCGAATCTTAAAAGCAATTGCTTATATATGTATGCGTTGAGCGCGTTTAAACTTGCAAGTATGTTTAGGAGTCGATACGCGCATTTATTTCAGTTTAGTTCCGAGTTTCTTACATTCGGCATAACTTAGTAGGTGGGATTAGGAACATATTTTTCGGTAAAAAATAAAAAAAGGCAGTGAAAATTATGGCTGATTCAAGTGGAAGAGACGAATCCCATGATGAGGAATAAAGGGATAAGCAGTTGTTATTTGTGCATAAATTAAAAGAACATAAAATTTTTCTTAATAAATCGCAAGTTCCACAAGTTAAAATAGAAAAGGAGGCCGCTTTAAAAATTTTAGTACAATATAAAGATATTTTTAACGTACACTTACAACAAAGCAGTTAGCAAAAAAAATAAGTAATATGATGACCGAAATAAAGAAGAAATTTGATATTAATAAGACAGGCAATAAAGCTATACCTAATCTATAAGTCTTGGGAAAAGTTGTTAATGGAAATGTTTGAAGTGCATAAGAATCCCATCTTCAAAAAAATACCAGGTAAAGCAAATTAAACTTTATTGTATCGTAGGTTTTTTTAAACATCAAAATAAATCATCCAGGTGCTGTCTCTGTTGGAGCCAACGAAAGCATAACACTTGCTGAATCCTCCACCTCGGCCATCAGTGACACTCTGGCCCCCTCAAGTGCAAAAGAAATTACTATTCCTGCAAAGAAAATTAAGATGTCACATTTACCAGAAACTGAAGAAACCCAAAAATTATAAACTGCTAAGTTGCAGCGATTAGTTCTATTAGAGCAGTTGAAATTATGTCGAATGCAACAAGAAGAAATCATTAAGAGACAGAAGCAAGGTGATGGTAACTTTATGCCAAACAGTACTTTTTCGGGGGAAAAAATGTATTACAACTTGTAATTTTTATGAATTATTTAATTTAGGATTTAATTTTTAATTTGGGTTTACATCGAGTATCAAAAACTAATAAAATCTGAATTTAAGTTGAATATAGGTACCTAAGAATTATATTGTTCTGTTTCCATTTGTTTAATAGCGGTATAGTATTTCTGATTTGTTTTAGTTGTGTACCTACACGTAATATAAGTACCAGTCGTTACTTACATGATAATTTCAGTCACTATTTGCCTTTTTTGTTATTCTAATTGACGAATTAAATTTGTAGTTAAATTGACAGTGTCTAAGTTATTTTCAGCATCAGCTTCATGATGCACGTAATCAGAATCTTCATCATTTAAACATTTAGCTATGTTATGAAGAACAACGCAGGAAATTATTGTCGATTGTATTTTTTCTAATTTATTCCGGATTTTATACTGTAGGACAGGAAATCTTGCTTTTAATTGCCCAAAGCATCGTTCAATTATTACTCGTTCTCGACAAAAAACGTTATTATAATTTTGCTGTTCTGGGGTTGTTGGATTTCTCCAGGGAGTCATAATCCAAGGGGATAGAGAATAGCCATCATCCCCTAATAATACACATTCTTCGGTGCTGTTTTTAAGAATGTTGAATATATTGGAATTTTTAGATATTCTGCTGTCATGTACAGAGCCTGGCCATTGACAGGCTACACTTGTAAATATTTATTTGGCATTGCAAGTTGCCTGTATGCTGATGCTAGGATATCCTTTCCTGTTTATATATTCGAATTCAGCAAACTTTGGAATCCTGACATGCGTACAATCTATTGCGCCGATAGAATTTGGGAAACGGTATTTCTCCGACCACAGTTGTTTAGCATTCATAAAGTCGTCAGCGCTTTTGGGGAATTTAATCCAAATGTTGGCCTTCTCCAAAACGACGTTCAGGACGGAAGTGTATGTTTTATAAACACCAAGCTCTTCAGCAACGGCATTTTGAAAGCCAGGGTCTGACAACTGACGCAGAAAAATGTTCATCTTATTCACAGCTGATAATGCTCCTCCTCGCTTTTCACCGCTGTCAGCAAAAAAATAATGCGCTAACCACTCCACATTTTCGCGATTAAAGAGATATAATTTTCGGAAATCATTGTCTCGGCACTCTTTACGTACACAGTATACTTTTTTTACACGAATATTCATATATTCGGCCATAACTACCAAATTCCAGATCAGTAAAAACAATCCGTATATGTAGTAGAACGAACAAAATTTCACTAAAAGCAAATGCAAGCTGGGATCGACCTACTTTAAATATCTAATAGCAATTACTACACTAGAAAAAGCAATTGCGTTTTTTTATTCATCCCATTCTAAGCATGTTTAAGCAATAGAAGAAAAAGCTTTATCGAAAAGCAATTGCTGCAACTTTAAGCAATTGCTGAAGGCAAAAGCAATTACTCAGATTTTTATTCATAGGTTTTTAAGCTTTTCCTTCAATTTTGTAAGACAAAGCAATTCCTACATTTTTATTCATTAGGGCCAATGGGTGATTTTTTGCTAGTATCTTTTTGGCAACACTGTTTTTGACAGATGACACGTGAATCGTGTCTTGTGTCATTGTCAAACTTGTTCAGTTTGGTCTATAATTTAACCATGAATCGACTTACGAACGAACAACGCTTGCAAATTATTGAATTTTACTATCAAAATTCATGCTCGGTTAAGAGAGTGCATCGAGCACTGCTTCTAATTTATGGGCAATTTGGTCGGCCTACTGATGGAGCTTGTGACTAAATTTCGAACCCAGTTTACATTATTGGACATTAAACCACCAACACGCAGACGTAGAGTGAGGACTGAAGAAAATATTGCGGCTGTATCCGCCAGTGTTAGTGATGACCGTGAAATGTCGATTCGCCGCCGTTCGTAGCAATTGGGCCTCTGTTACTCCACTACGTGGAAAATTTTGCGACAGGATTTGGGTGTAAAACCTTACAAGATACAGCTGGCGCAAGAATTGAAGCCACACGCCCTCCCACAACGTTTCCCATTTAGAGAATGGGCGCTGCAAAGTTGGAGGTAGATTCACATTTTTATCGAAAAATTGTGTTCAGCGACGAAGCTCATTTCTGGTTGAATGGGTACGTGTAAACAAGCAAAATTGCCGCATCTGGAGTGAAGACCAGCCAGAAGTATTGCAAGAGCTACCAATGCATCCCGAAAAAATCACTGTTTGGTGTGGATTGTGGGCCGGTGGCATCATCGGGCCGTACTTCTTCAAAGACGACAATGGCCGGAACGTAACTGTGAATGGCGGGCGCTACCGTGCGATGATAACAAACTTTTTTTTGTCCAAAATGGAAGAGCTGGACTTGGCTGACATGTGGTTTTAACAAGACGGTGTCACATGCCACACCGCACACGAAACAATGGCCCTATTGAGAGGCGAGTTCGGTGAACAGTTTATCTCACGTTTGGGGCCCGTCAATTGGCCGCCTAGATCGTGTGATTTAACGCCGTTGGACTATTTCTTGTGTGGCCATGTTAAGACTAATGTCTACAGGGATAAACCAGCAACGCACTGGAAGACATTATTGAAGCATTTATTCGTGAGATACCGGCCGATATGTTGGATAGAGTGTGCCAAAATTGGACCTTGCGCATGGGCCATCTAAAGCGGAGCCGCGGCCAACATTTACATGAAATGATCTTTAAACATTAAATTATATCGACCGTTCTATCGACTCAAATAAAGATTTAATCGTTTTTTCAAATAATTGTGGTTTATTTGAAAATCAAATCCTATACCTCTTAAAAAATAACCCGTTATTATATCCCAGATGCCCAGTTATCGTTTTTAGATGTTTTGGTCAAAAGGAAAACAACATAGAAAAGAAACGAACACAATCTCCGATCCGCTGCACAGTGCGTTCCTTTATAGGGATCAGGGACAAAATTCGATATCTTAAAAACTAGTGGTCCTATTTGAATTCTGTAAACGCAGGGCGATTACTTATTTAAGTAGCTTTCTAAAGTATGACAAAAATTATTTAAAATAATGAGAAGGGGTGGGGGAGCAGGCGGGATGCATTTCGCATAAATCGTTTTTTTTTTGTAAAAGTCAAAATATTAAGTTGATGATCTCGAATAAATTGGGATAAGGTAGGATATTATTATAGCATTCTTAAGAGAGACAAAAAAGTCACGCTTTTATTTTTCAAGATCTTTACCGAATGATTTAAAAGATAATGTAGCCAACTTGTGGCGGGCGCAATATGATTTATTAAATTTGTCTATCTATTTGAAAAAATAATAAGAATAATTCAAATAAAAAATAAATCTGTATAATTAGAAATTTATATTTAGGTTTTTATTTAAAAAAATATATTTAACAAAATAACAATTACTTAGTAGGTAATGTATGAAATAATAATATAAACTATATTAAAAAAATAACACCAAATATACCCATTCTAATCGGAATAGGATTTCTTGCTCGGTGCTGTGTCATTCGTTATTGTACCTAAGTCAATACCTAAATCATCATTTTCTTGCTTTTTTAAATAGTTCTGAACTGCCTCGTTGCATTTCTTATATTTTTTTGAGCTCACCTTTCTTTTTGAGGATATAAAAGGATCAGAAGTAAGTAAAAGAACACGCATGAGATCCTTATTCGTATCTATTCGTATCTGTTCTTGAACATTTTCTGGTGTGAGATAATCGATGTTTCCTAACCTCTTTATGGCGAGCCACAAGCGCATCCTCCGACAGTTCTCCAATGGGCAAACAAAATGCATCAATTATCTCACACCCATGAACAAGAACCTTATGTACCGTGTTTGGCATGTTGTACCACTTATAAAGGTGGATATACAAATTTCTTGCTTCTTCCAGCAATGATGCAAACTTTTCCATATCAATAGCGCAACCACTAGCTAACACTCCTAAGATGATCGCAAATTTCTCGATTAATTCCCTGTCAACCCCTGTGATATCTGAACTTGTTTGTGGATTGTGGAAATAAATTCTGGCCGTATTGCCATCATTTGAGGAGCCATACCCGGGTTTTGGTTTGTCAACTATTAGAGACAGTTTGGCTCTGAACTCTGCTTGGATTCGTTTTTTGTTTGCTTCGACTATAGCTTTGTTTTCAGGCCCACGAACCTGGAAAGATTTAATTGGCAGGCGGTATCCAATATGGAGTAAGCATTCAAAAAAACGAATCCAGCAGTGTAAAGTTGACAAACCAAACCGGTAATTGTCTACGTTAGGAGGACGGTTAATCCCTGCTAACGTGTTCATGTCCTTGGGTCTGGCTCGGCAAATGATGCACTTCAGAGTTGAATTTGTCTCTGATAGAACGTTTCCAACACTGCCGTCCAACATTGTTAACATCATATCAACTTCAATTATATAAGAGTGCCCTTCTTTTGTTTTAATCTCAATAGGAATCAAATTTTCAATTTTTGTTATTCTTTCCTTTTCCGTATTCCGCACTAAATCAGCATTTTCCTTTTTAAATAAAAACTTGATCGGCCTACAATATAAAGTAGATGAAGGGCTCTCATTTTTCCACAATACCTTATTCGTTTCCATATCAATCAATCTGAGTGGCGTCATTGCTACAACAAACAGAAATTCGTCGGTGTTTTCTAAATCAGAAAATTTCTGCTTATATTGGCTATGCCCAGAACTGCCATCAAATCCCCACTTGCATATCACTTTAATCCGGCAATCTCTCTCTTCAAAATTTATTATTTCAAGGATACTTTCAGCTGTTTTCTGTAGAAGTTCTTGCAAATCAACTTCTACAGAAATTTCAGTAATAATAAATTATGAAGGGAGGATAGCATTTTTTGTTTTCTGTAATTCTTTATAACTAGGAAGGCAGTTCTGGGCCTTACCATTAATAACAGATCTAAGTAGCAAATACTTTCTTACGGATATATTCAAATCTACCATAAGGGCTAAAGCTTCAGCTGTACTAAAACTAAAAATTTGTGGCGAGACATCACTGTGATTGCTTTCAGAAACGACATTTACAGCAAATGGAAGTTCATTTGCAGATCTGTCTGTGGTTAGTTCGGCTACACGTCTTCGTTTTGTTTTCTTCGATGCCTCTTCAAATGGCACCCATGGCCGTCCAACTGAGCGACAAGGAGGTACTTGTTCCTTATCCGAAGATGTGTTTTCTTCAGAATCATTATTTATTCTATTTATAATCTTGTCTAACCTATATACCTGATTTTGTAAAAGTCGATTCCGAGATTGTCCTACTTTCTGCCATTTATTTGCCATTTTCAACCCAAACAACTGGCTGTATTTCATTATATTACTTTTAAGATGTTTGGAAGGTTCATCTGTTATATCAATAAGAGATAATATCTTTTCATGAACCACCTGTTTTCTATTTCCTCTCGGTGCTTCTATCCACACATCAATCAAATCTCTATTTCTGACAATAGCACCATGTCCTAAAAACAAATTATATCTCCCTTAGACGTGGCATGACGTGATTTAAACTGCTTATCAAAACTTACTATGGACAGATAAACAATAAATTTTAGGGTGATGGCAGGTGATTTTTGTAAAACTCTAAACAAAGTCAAAAGTTTAAAAAAAATTAAAAAAATCGGTAATAGTCACTTTAACTTAAAAAATTATCTAATTATAATTATATTTTAAATAAATCTATACATCGATATAATGTACTTACCAGCCTCATTACCAGCCATATTGGAGAAGTTAAAATATTTAAATATTTCGACACAAAATTTATATCTTTCCCGAGCAATAAAACAGAGAGATTTTTCGCCTTCTTGACAGGTCTCGACATGTCTAACTTTAAAGTTGCTAAAATAGGTAAAACGCAGCCAACTTGATTAAAGTACTATACTTACGTGTTGCAGTGACTATTTATCTATCCAATGGTATAATAAAAAAAAATGAAAAAAATAAAAAAATTCTAATGTCAAAAATTATGTTTTTGAGTAATTTTGTCCATTGGGCGCCACACTATGCGCTGTAACCAAGACAATATGGCTGGTTTCAACTTTTTGGTTCATAGACTAGTCACCTTCTAACTAAGCTTCCAGGAAGAAAAGAGGACGATCATACAACCAGCCAACATCAACGGATATGATGCTGACATTAATTAGCAAACATATTTTTGAGACAACACTTCGGGTTTCCACAACCTTCCAAGATGAAACGGAGACACCGACAAACATTGTAATATCTTACAACCTCAATTACACAGAAAGTCTGAAAAAAGTCTTCAAGGATTGGAGGGCCTAAGATGAACGACTTATTGGGAAGCCCCACGGACAAAGTAGACATATTTGGAAGGTGTGAAATTAATGAGATCAGGTGTAGTGACTGAAGCGAACAAACTAGGATACCTATTAGACTAGGTATCCACTGCCTGATTCAGGACTTGGTAGAATAGACAAATCTAGTGTTCCAGAACGCACGATCAATAGGGACCTAAGATAGATAAATAGCTTAAAATTAGTCCGTAATGCTAGAATCCTTAAGAAACTAGTGGCATATGAAAGCTTCGAGGTTAGGAAATATAATGAACACGGAGGGAGGTCCTATTTTCGCTGGCCGTAGTATAGGAATGCATGGGGTGGTGGGGGTACTAGGGACCCACATTAGAGCTTCAGCATACTGCTAGACGATTTGCTGTGACATGTGTGTGTGTGTTTATGTGTATGTCTTTGGACTCGGACATTTATAGCCTCCAGATGACAATATCGTACTGATCTCGTAATTTCTAATAACCCTTAACATTCATTAAATAATTTATTCAGAACCTGGATGTCTAGAACTACTTGCCTGGTTCGACTGGGCAACTGCCGAAAACTTGCGTTTAATCTTGTTGCCAGGCAGTCGGGATGGATTGTTTCTATTCATGTTTATCAAACGTAACAACTGTTTATAAACATTTTTGCAATGAACTATTTTAATTTGGTGTTCTGTGACGTAGCTGTATGTTGTAATGAACCACTCGTTTATACATTTACGATAACTGTTATACTTATGGAAATTAAGAATCAACCTGATTTTGTTACTGAATCTGATAATGTAAGCGGGACGAATTCACGGAAGAGTAATTTCTAAACTAAAAGGAATGCATTTTATATAGTGGCAATATTTTGTATGAAGAAAATACAGCGAAAAAGAATACAAAATATCAGATAACACTGCGTTGTTTCCGTAGCATTATGTATGTACTATATATATTTTTATTGTCAAACTTCACTAACATCTGTGTTTTTCCAAAGTAAAACAGATTTAACTTTTTAATGAAGTTTTACATTTTACCTCAAATATTCACAACTTGCCCTAAGAGGAGTGAATTGACATTTTTAGGATAAACGACTTATGTGAAGTTACCTTATTACAAATACTTGATCAAAAAAATCATTTGGTATTTAGGAAATTAGCGTAATAGACCCTAGGTGGAGTAAATTCAGGAAAATTTTGTGCTTATTGCACTTTAACCCTGTCGATGAAGATAACTTATCCTCGATTTCGTTGCTAGAACTTCAACATCATGTGACTATTTGGCAGGGAGGTTCTTAAGAACATGCTGTTATAAGTAACTGTTCGTATTACTTTTCACTGTAGCTAGGGTTGAAGGAATTGATTTCAATCATCTTGGCTCCGATGGTTTCGGTTCCGAGTCCGATGATTTCGATTCGATTCCGATGGTTTCGATTCAGATTCCTGAAGCCGGCGTCAACGGTTAGGATGCCAGCAGTCAAATCCAGATTGCATTTGAACGAACTGTTAGAAAGATACTAACGCTCTGATTTTGAATATCGCTTTTATCGCAATACGGATCCTGGCATTGAAGCTTTCAATTCAAGCAATTCCAAAGAGACATCGATTTACAAGGTTATGATTGTGGTCTGGAGTTTGGGGTATATACGGTTTTTTGAATCACGTCGAGCAACTGCCAATTTAATGTTAAATTCACGCAGAAGATGAAATGGTACAAGGTATAGTCAGCTCCTAACAGAGCATTCGAAATTGTATAAAAGTGTCCAGTCGACATCGCACTTGCGGAGGGGTACCATTGAACACCCCTCAACTCTCCTTGGCTTGCTTTGCATGCTTTTTAAGGAGTTAAAAATCAACTCTGTGGACTGTTATCAAACACATCGAGTTCGGGTTTACAAATGGAGCTGTCGGAATCCATAATCGATTCCTACTGGCGGTGTCGTTCTTTAATCGATAGGAGTTGGAGTTAATAGGAATCATGAACAAATCGAACGAAACGATGCCGAGACCAGAATCGGAATCATGGAATCGAATCACTTAAAGGAACGATTCAGCCCAACTTTATTTCTAGTAACGCAGAAGAATTGTTACCACGAAAATAATTTTTGACAGCCTGCGTGTCGTTATAGTCAACAAACTCCTAGTTTCTTTCAACACTCTGCTGGACATTTGCAAAAACGACCATCCATGAAAAAATCATCATGTATCTTCAGCAATTCTTGCACATATACTATTATGTTGTATTATGACGTTCCTATTGTTCAAAAAGTGTATAGCTGCTATGACCAGACAGATGATCTGCTACATAATAGTATGTCCATCGAACAAAAATTATGCAAAATAGATGTTACGAAAATAACAGCTACCGGTAAACAACACTCAGCGTTAGCATAAAATTCCACCTAGGGCCATGACCGACGACCGAGGAATTCATATGGGAACCAGAGAAAAAACCTCGCACGCTAATTTCCATTTTCGTGATCCAGTAACTATAACACGTCTATTACAGGGTGTCCCACTAGAAACTTCATTTTTAATATTCCATTATAAAAAAGACACATGCGCATCAAAGTCTGAAGATACCGAGTCTGTGATATCAAATCACGCCTTGCTTCTAGCAAAGAATTAGGTGAAAAGATATGACGTGCGTTAGTAACAAACCCAGGCGCTGCGCACCGTGCAGGTAAGCCAAGCTGTTTGTTTATAAAATTGATTTGAGAAAACCGAAAATAGCACATTCTTATAGCAACGTTAGGTTACGGTGAGATACCGCTAATACTTCGCGAAAGCATTCAAATCATTTTCTTGAGCGTTTTCATTGCGCATAGACTTGCCTCTGTTGTACAAAAGCCGTTTATAGGAAAGTCGAGGTAGGTACGATAAAAGACCTAGTCAGAATGTTGCAAATTAAGGAAGATGTTCACAAACTTGTTTTATACCGCGCTTTTCAAAAAGTTCCTCGTTATTTTCTGGACGGGTGAAGCTAGCAAGTTGAAATTCGGGGTGATTAAGTTGTTGCACAACTACTACGTTTTAACATAAAAATAACAGTTTAATTTTCAAATGTTATTTTGATAGCTGTGCGTCATCTTAGAGAAATTTTTAAATGAACTGGGAAGTCATGTGGCATCTCATTTTGAAGCTCCTTATAAGTAATTTACAACATCTGAATGTAAAATGGCTAGCTTACAAAGCGGCGGACTGGCAGACTGTCAAACTGGTGCAGTCGGTTACAATTACAAACTAATAATCAAAACGTTCTTGTATGTGAATATTTTTCTTTTGAAAGGGCCCATTCGAATGTGCAATAAAATATTAGATAATGTAACATCCTAAACTTATCCTGTGGTTCTCATGTTGATAATCACCCATGTTTAACTGGCTAATTAAGCCACATTTATTCTTTAATGTACGACATTTTAGTCTCGGCAAGACATAAACATATGTGGTTTGATTGGCTAAATAAGTACGGGGATATTCACTTTATAAAAAATTGATAGATTTTGACTTTTCTCTAAATGATATGTACCATATTTTATTACATATTCGAATAGATCCTTTCAAGGGTTATCTGCGTCATTATAAAAATACCGCCAATGTCAATATCTCCATGCCGAGAAATAGATTTTTTATGAGAAAAGAAGTACATCGGATTAAAAAACTCAAAAGATCAAATCTGCTCATAAATGAATTCATATTTCAATTCGTTTTATTTTGAGAAAAGTCAGTGGCCTGTCACTGATTTGTTTTTGAAAACTTTATCACCCTGTATCTCAAAAGTTAAGACTTTTAGTACAGACCTTCATATAGAGTTTTCTCCTTAAAATGCACCCAAAAGTCGCCTCATTTTGACATTCAATTAAAAAATCTGTATACACAGGTTTTGTCAAAACAGCGCATAATATGCTCTAGTGTAACACCAGTTTTTTCAAAAAAAAACCCTATCAGTTTGCGCTCGTACTACGTTACACGGCGAATTCTCAAATTAAGGCTACCGACCAACATGCACCACGTGCTGCTCAAAGCTGACGAATTTTGGACCTTTTCTGGGACACCATGTATAATTTAAGATACCTGCGCCAGACGGGTGAGTAATGAAGGTACCAGATACGCCACAAACGCTGCCTTAATGACGACCCAAAACGTACGCCCACATCGTGGGAGCCTCAGGAACTTAGCTGGAGGGCGACTATTAAAATGCTATGAAGTAGGGTATATCCCCACCTTCATCCAGGAACGTTAAATTACCGTTTGCATTTGGCCGGAGCATTTCCTTTTATACACCGTACCTTTGTGCTTAGATACAAACAGCAGCTGGTTTTCTAGAGCACGCTAAGGCAAGTTTGTATTTTTTGTATCAAGCGGGAGGACGGTAAAGTGCACAATGGCGTTAGATGATGTGTCTGCAAGACCAACATCTGACCAATCCTTGCAGCCATGTGCATGGTTAGAGGCATGTAGTGATAGTTGTAGTAGTAGTA